CTCTCAGGCTAACACTGCTGATATCTTGAGCAAGGCACTTCAGCCTTGTGGCCATCAGCGTTTCTGTACTGTTCTAGGCCTTGTGCCTACTTGGCCTCACTTGCTAACTTCTTGACTTTGCTTGTACTGAGATCTATATACTTATACCTGCATGCTTACACTTGCTAGGTTGTGATCACTGTACTGTTTGTTCTCTTTTATATAACTCTGCATGTGAAATGGCCTTGTGGCCATTTGCTTGTGCTCAAAATGCGTGGTGACTTCGTGATCCACCCTGAGCTTGCTTTTATTTTCTTGACCGGTCTTATGACATCTAGTTCTCCCCCACTTTGCCTATGGGGGTGTATCAAACTTATATGCTACTTATTGTGTAGGCTATAGTGGGGTAGCCCATATGGGGCACAACCCAATTAGGGTTTCCGACTTGTACCCATCTTGCTGCTAGTTCATCCATTTCTGCTCGTTAGTTTCTAACAATGCCGCCCGACATCGTTTCTAGAAGCAGCACGGTTGGCAGAATCTACGGATGCGCTGATGCAGTACTCGAGGTCGAGTTCCCGGGAGGGAAACTGTTTTTGTGGCCAGACCCAACGGGCCACGAGCAACGGAGTCCATGCACCAGACCGCCCCTACACCGGGTTGTGTTATAAGTGCGGGAAGCTGGGTCACAAATATGCAGACTGCCCCGAGAGAATGCCGGCGAAGAGGAACGACGAAAAAGAGCCAGGAAATGGGAAGAGTCAGTAACAGACGGGCCCCTTACTGGCTGTGCTCTGTCGCTCGAACACCATCATCCCCACCGAGTCATGGTTTCAATTCATGCAATCGATCGCACTCGTCCGAATAACGGGGATAACCATGTGGATCACCCTGTGCTGGTCGTTGGCAAAGTGTTAGAAAATTACTTGAAAATGTTCGTTGACAGAGGGGCCAGCCATAGCCTCTTCAACTTGGCGACAGCAAAAAAATGCAAGCTGCAACTTGACAGGTGTCTGCCTGAAATTGACGCTCGCCTCGTGGATGGGATACCTCTGACGATTTTGGAAGAAACACGGACGGTGGGGATCAAATGCAGCGACGATTTCAGCTTCAGCATGAAGTTTCTCGCGACAACGTTGGACGGCTGCGACATGCTACTGGTACGTGATTGACGGCACAACCCCATTATTGACTGGACAACGGGATTGTGCAACATCAGCAAGCACGAGGGGCTAATCAAATTGCCTGCATGGACACCTGACTACATCCAAGCCCCGTGCGTCAAAGCTATCACTATAGCTCGCCACTTCAACCGAGGCGCGCAGCTGTTTGCTGTATGTTTGCATGAGTTGGCAACTGACATCGACGGAAAGGACATTGAGAAGCTGTGCGCAGCTATACCACCTGATTTAGCGAAGCTGATTCGACAGTAACCGGACATGTTCCCCGACAATCTGCCACCTGGACTGCCACCCGAACGCCCCAAGGACCACAAAATTCAGCTAGAGCCTGGCACGCAGCCGACTGTTCGTACACAGCGGCGGTTGACCCAACCGGAACTCGAGGAGCTGCGAAGTCAAATTGATGCACGGTTGGAGAAAGGATTCATATGGGCAAGCACATCTCCCTTCGCAGCACCGATCATGTTCACTCCGAAGAAAGACGGCGGGCTCCGCATGTGCATTGACTATCGTGCGTTGAATCGGGTGACCATCAAGTCTCGCTACCTAATCCCAGGAACCGACGACCTCCTCGACCAACTTCGCGGCGCTCGCTATTTCTCGAAGATTGACTTACGTGGCGGTTACCACCAGATTCGAGTCTTCGCCGACGATTGTCATCAGACTGCATTTCGCACACGCTACGGGAGTTACGAATTCACGGTGATGCCTTTCGGCCTCATGATTGGAAGTCCCCGACTAACATCACGAAACTTTAGAGTTTTCTGGGCTTGGTGAAGTACGTCAGGCGGTTTATCCCGAATATGGCAGGGATAACCGGCCCGCTGACCGACTTATTGCACAAGGACAATACTTTTTTGTGGGGGGAGGAAGTTGAGGCGGCTTTTAAGGAGTTGAAAAATTTTCTCGTTTCCCTTCCGGTTTTACGTATCGCCGACCCATCAAAGCTGTTCGAAGTCGTCACCGATGCGTCAGATTTCGCCATCGGAGCTGTGCTTCTTTAAGATTTCGAAAACAACCGATCGCCTACGAGTCACGCAAGCTGCAGTTAGCCGAGCGCAACTACCCGATACATGACATGGAGATGCTCGCCATAATGCAGGCGTTCAAACTGTGGCGCTGCTACTTGGTGGGCGCCGACGTCACTGTTCGCACGGACTACAAGTCCCTACAGTAACTGCGAGCTTAGCCCAACCTCAACCCGCGACAAATCCGGTGGCTGTACTACATGAAGAGCCACTTCACCTACCGCATCACGTACAAGAAAGGGGCGAATAACATCGCTGACGCCCTTACCCGACCGACAGTTCAATCCGCTGCAGTACTCATCACCCATTGGAACCCGCTACTTACGGACTATTCACCCACGACTTTTTTACGGACCCTTTCTTCACGACTGGAAACCACCAGCAGGCGACGACGCATAAGGGGAACTATTACCTAAAAGCCGGAACAGATCGGATTTGGGTTCCCGCTTATCGGCTGCTGCGTGAATTCCTTATCCAGGAGGTCCACGATTCTAACCTCTCCGGACATTTCGGGGTTGATAAAACCCAGAACCTGTTGCACCGTCACTGTTATTGGCCTGATTCTGCTAACGACGTGCAGCAAAATGTGTCCTCATGCAGGGTGTGCCAAGCCATGAAATCGACACGTCAGCGGCCACCTGGATTGCTGCAGCCCCTAGAGCCACCTGGGCAACCATAGCAACAGGTGACGATGGACTTCGTCACGGGGATGCCAGCTAGGCCGTCCGGCAACGACGGTGTTCTCGTCGTCGTCGATCGCCTCACGAAAATGGCGCACTTCCCGCCGTGTCGTACAACAATCACAGCCGAAGAAACTGCGCGCCTCTTCATCTCGACCGTCGTGCGACTGCACGGAATCCCCGCAGCGATCATCAGCGACAGGGACCCGAAGTTCACATCGAAATTCTGGAAGGAGACGTGGGCACAGTACGGCACGAAACTACAGTTCTCCTCAGCATACCACCCGCAAACGGACGGCCAGACCAAGCGGACCAATCAGACCATGGAGCACCTGATTAGGACAAACTGCCCCGACCTTGCTCGCTGGGAAGACTCACTCGCCATGCTGGAGTTTGCATTCAAGAACGCTCCGTCCAGCACGACTAATCACTCCCCGTTTTTCCTTAATTACGAGATGGACCCGACGGTGCCTACAGCGACTACACTCGGCAACCCGGTCCCGAGGTCACAAACATTTGTGACGAAACTTCAGGAAGTTTGGGAAAAGGCTGCGGACGCAATTCGCAAGGCGAATATCACTTCCCGAAAATACACCGACCTCCTACGACGGGAACTCGCCTTGGCAGCTAGGCAACTAAAGCTACTTGACACGAAGAATCTGTACCTGCCCGACCCGTCGAAACTTCGGCCCCGATTTTGTGGGCCTGTCAAGATTATCAAGATGGTGACACCTGTCACCGCGAAGCTGTTGCTACCCGATAACTGGCGCATCCATGACACCTTCCACGTCAGCCTGCTTCGAAAGTTCGTGCCAGCCACGACAGACATCGCGCGACAAAATGCTGCCCCAACAGCACGACCTGTCCCGGAGCCGACTCTTGACACATCGAAGATTCAGGCACATCGGGTTCGCCTTGACGCAGCTGGTCGCCACGTGGATTTCCTCATCCGTTGGACTGATCGCACCAGTGAAGACGACACGAGGGTGCCATCCGCCTCCTTGGGCGCCTCACCTCTTGTTGGTGATTACCTGGCGCGCAAGCGTGTTCCGGATATTGACCACCTTTCTTAAGAGGGGGAGAGGGTAGTGTAAGGATTTTTCCCGAATTCCTTATCGGGGTTGACTGCTTCGCGTACAGCCCCGACTTTCGGACTTAACACGTTCGGCCGATCTCAACGCTGCCGAGGCTCCTCGCGTCGCCTTCAGCATTTCCCATCGCCAAACCTGCATCCAACCTCGCTCGTCCGAGGTTCCCTCCTAGCTAGGCTAGCTCCTACATTAGTCTGTGCCTTCATTGTATTCTCAGTTCATTTAGTCACATCTTCTTTATTCGTTATTCCCGCACTCTCTTTTACAACTCATAACAGCATGTATTCTTTCCTAAACGACAACCAGGTTCCCTTGAGTACAGTTGTTACGTTGTGCTCCCGTCGTAGTGCTCACGTCGCCGATACCTGACACGATGCGCTACCAAACCCAAGGCACTGCTTTGTGTGTGCCAGTCAGAGTGGGCGAAACGCGCGGGAAACCCAAAGCGGTTTTTCAAACCACACTTATCAGATCATGGGCAACTTTCCACCCACCCTCTCCATAAGTTACGGACACGGCACGCACACGGCACTGAAGTCACATTCTTTGTGTGGCATTATGAGCAGCATTTGCTCATCCTTGATTCGCGCGTTTTAGGTTGCAGGCTCCTCTCGCGTCGCAGAGGGCGTTTGGTTCGTATCCACTAGATTTACAATCTCGTACAGTAGCATGTTAAACACCGTTTGCGCTCTGGATAAAGTTACCATTTGCATCGTACAAACGAGTCGATGCGTGAGGAACCCTGCTCGTTAATTTGTAGTCCGTAGGGAGTACGCTATGGGGTTTCCGTTCATGCCTTTTCAGTGACGACCATCTTGGACAGCAGATTGCCACTCGCATCGTATATGCGAGTCGATTGTGCAGTCGTGCGTTAGGAACCCTGCTCGTTATCTTGTAGTCGGTAGTGGGTACGCTACCGGGGTTCCCCGTTCACACCTTTTCAGTGCGATAATTTTCTTGGATAAGAAATTGCCACTCGCATCGTATAAGTGAGTCGATTGTGCCGTCGTAGGTGAGAAACCCTATTCGGTAACTAGACGTAATTGCGCTACTGGGGTTCCGTTCCTCCATGTGCCATCAAGTGAGATGGTGCGTCGACATCTCAAGATCGACTGACGTTCAGCAGCTGCGTTGACTGACGAATATACAAATGCAGATTCACTAGCACATATCGTATTTATCAGCGGTGACCCGTAGATCCTCTATTGCTGCTCGGCCTCACGAGCATTTACCCGCAGCTCCTAAATAGCACTGCTAGCTAGAATGTTCGAAGTCGGTTTGCAACGGTGGAGAGCAGTTCGTCGACCGCTAGGCGTGTTCGTGACGTCTGCGTTTCTCCTCTTGTTACTGTCGCTCGCCTGGTTACCAGCATCGCGATCCCAGGTACGAGGCTACTCGCTACCGTGTGTCTATGGAGGATACTAGACGCTGGATGTGCTTTCACTCACCTTAGGCATTCTAACTAAAGATGAGTCAATCATACAAGTTGTTTTGTTTTATTTTGTTTTGTTTGTTTTCTTCTTTTTTATTTTGGAAGTTCACGCGGCGACTATGGCTAATTCAAGAACTCATAATTTAGCGAACGCTGCCCCGCGTTTAGAATATTCCTCACACGAACACCCCCATCTTCAGTTCCCAGGCCTGCCGATGCCGATCCTCTGGCGGAATCAGGCTATTTGACGTTAAAAGAAGCCCAACGTTTCCAGCCTTTTCCCACAGGCTGTCTTGTCCTGTGGCTCACACTCTCCCATCCCTGCAGCTTCCGCCTACCATGCGCCTCACACCCTTACCCCCGAGCTTGCACCTGCCCTGCCGTTGACGCGGCTCTCCTCTCCCCGCAACTTCCGGGCCGAATCTAGCATCACCCGTCGCATCTCTCGGACCCCTATTCCCATTCCCCTTTCCCTAAATCTCACATTCCCTCTTCCCTTCCCCTCCTTCCCACATTTCCCCTTCCCTCCCCCTCTTTCCCACTCTCCCCCTTCGTTCCTCTTCCCCCACATTCCCCCTCCCATTACTCTATCCCCTCTTCCCCCACTTTGAATGTTCCCCCCTCCCCACGTCCCCTCCTCCCGACGTTCCCCCCTTCCCACGTTACCCCCTCCCAACGTTCCCCCCACCCTTCACTCTCCCTCCGGACATTCCCCCCACACCCCCTCCCCCCCCCCCCCCCTTGCGCTGTTTCTGACGAAAAGGATGCGCAGATAGGCGGTGCAGGAGGCGGGGATGGCGCAGGAAGCGGGGGCGACGCAGGAGACGGCGCAGCGTCAGGACTGGCGGACTTCATTGGGGGTTATGCCGGGGATGCGGGGAATGGGTTAAGCAACGCTGGTGAGAGTGGCAGTGGCGGCAGCGGCACCGGCGACAGCGGCGACAGTGGCAGCGGTAACGGCGAAAGCGGCAGGGCGAGCAACGGGAAGTTCAAGGGAGTGTTTGAGCTGCCGGATCCGCCGTCCAGATTCAACGCCAGGGCTGCGTGGCATCACATGCGCTACCGCACACCTGACTCGTGCTGGAGCCAGCAGGAGCGGCATCTGTACCACACGGTGCGTGTGTGAGGAGCGTGTGTTCCACACGGTGTGTGTGGGAGGGGCGTGTGTTGCTCTAGTTGTGTATGGGAGGGGCGTGTGTTGCTCTAGTTGTGTGTGGGAGGGGCGTGTGTTGCTCTAGTTGTGTATGGGAGGGGGTGTGTTGCTCTAGTTGTGTATGGGAGGGGCGTGTGTTGCTCTAGTTGTGTGTGCGAGGGGGTGTGTTGCTCTAGTTGTGTATGGGAGGGGGTGTGTTGCTCTAGTTGTGTATGGGAGGGGGTGTGTTGCTCTAGTTGTGTATGGGAGGGGCGTGTGTTGCTCTAGTTGTGTGTGGGAGGGGCGTGTGTTGCTCTAGTTGTGTATGGGAGGGGCGTGTGTTGCTCTAGTTGTGTATGGGAGGGGCGTGTGTTGCTCTAGTTGTGTATGGGAGGGGGTGTGTTGCTCTAGTTGTGTATGGGAGGGGGTGTGTTGCTCTAGTTGTGTATGGGAGGGGGTGTGTTGCTCTAGTTGTGTATGGGAGGGGGTGTGTTGCTCTAGTTGTGTATGGGAGGGGGTGTGTTGCTCTAGTTGTGTATGGGAGGGGCGTGTGTTGCTCTAGTTGTGTATGGGAGGGGCGTGTGTTGCTCTAGTTGTGTATGGGAGGGGCGTGTGTTGCTCTAGTTGTGTATGGGAGGGCGAGTGTTGCTCTAGTTGTGTGTGGGAGGGGCGTGTGTTGCTCTAGTTGTGTATGGGAGGGGGTGTGTTGCTCTAGTTGTGTATGGGAGGGGCGTGTGTTGCTCTAGTTGTGTATGGGAGGGCGTGTGTTGCTCTAGTTGTGTATGGGAGGGCGTGTGTTGCTCTAGTTGTGTATGGTAGGGGGTGTGTTGCTCTAGTTGTGTATGGGAGGGGGTGTGTTGCTCTAGTTGTGTATGGGAGGGGGTGTGTTGCTCTAGTTGTGTATGGGAGGGGCGTGTGTTGCACATGGTACGTTTGGGGGGGCATGTTTAGTGTATACGGCATGGTGGGAAGGGTAGCACATACCATGCATGTCCGTGCCCGTTTGCTGTTTACCACGTGTCCGTTTAATACTATGTTTACCACGTGTCCGTTTAATACGATGTTTACCACGTGTCTTTCTCGCCCGCTGCTTCTCTCCACTCCCCCGTATGTGGCGCACAGGCGGACCAGCCCCCCTCTTCACAGGCGGACCAGGCCCCCTCCGCACAGGCGGACCAGGCCCCCTCCGCACAGGCGGACCAGCCCCCCTCCTCACAGGCGTTTGTGGCGGTGTGGTGGCGTTTGAGGCGATGCAGAGGGAGTGTGTGAGAGTGAGCCAGGATGGGAAGGGGGGATGGAGGAACTCTCTCAGTCGACAGTCGACTCACACATATGCCACAATCCCCCTGGTCCCCTCTATTACCCCGTGTGTGTCTCTCGCAGGCGGACCAGTCACACCCGTCACAGGCGTTTGTGGATGCCGTGGTGGCGTTTGAGGCGATGCAGAGGGAGTGCGTGAGCCAAGGCAGGGTGGAGGACTGGCAGTGGGTGCGCAACAGGAAAGACTGGTGCGTGGTGGGCTGGGTTTTAGCTTCTGAGAGTCTCATAAGGGATGTAAGCGTCTGTAAGGAAGGGGTGTTTTGATATCCGTGCTTGCGTGACGCGTCTGTGGAAGTGCGCCTTTTATGCAACCATGTAACCAGATTTGCGTAACCATGTAACCAGGTTCGCGTAACCATGTAACCAGGTTCGGCTAACCATCTTTTGCCTCTCTTATGCCTCTCTTGTTGCCTTCCCCTCCTCCCCTGTCCACACTCCCCACACCTCCTCCCCTGTCCACACTCCCCACACTTTCCTTACCCCCCCTACCCTCCCCACCCTCCCCACCATCCCCATCATCCCCATCCTTCCACCCTCCCAACTTCCCTCCAGCTCGGCTCTCCAACCTCCACTCACAACCATCCTCTCTCCCCTCTGCACTGCCACCCTCTCTTCCTACTCTTCCTTCCAGTTTTTTCATCTGTCCGTCTCCCTTCTCCCGTTGCCTCTCTCGCTCTCCAGTTACTGAGTGTTGCCTCTCCAGTAGGCATCCCTTTGCTTCGGGCAATGTTCCTCCCCATAACCCCTCCCCTCCCCACACCTCACCGCACTGCTCTAGGGTTTAAAGGGTGCCCTTGGCTTCGGAAGTCTCTCCCCATGCTGGCTCCTCCTCTCCTCTGCTCCCCTTTCCTCCCCTCACCACCTCTCTCATTCTCCAGAGGCCAGGGGTGCACATGGCGCGGGCCGGACAGGCAACCCTGTCTGGCAACCCTGTCAGGCAAACCTGTCAGGCACAGGCAACCCTGTCAGGCAACCCTGTCAGGCAACCCTGTCAGGCAACCCTGTCAGGCAACCCTGTCAGGCAACCCTGTCAGGCAACCCTGTCAGGCAACCCTGTCAGGCAACCCTGTCAGGCAACCTTTTCTGGCAACCCTCTCTGGCAACCCTCTCTGGCAACCCTCCTCCTCTCTTCGCTCCCCCCACCCCCCCTCCTCTCAATCTCCAGGGACCAAGGGGTGCCACGGTACGGGCCGGACAGGAAGCCGTGCCGCTACATTATGATTCACGACCTGAGCCGAGGTGAGTGCTTGAGGCACATGAAACAAGTAAGCTTTTGAGACGTCTCAAAAACTAAGACTTACTTGTTTCACGAGGAAGCCGTGCCGCTACGTTGTGGTTTTACGACCTGAGTCGTGGTGAGTGCTTGAGGGGCAGATATATGAGTCAGCTACAAACTCCTCCCTCTCTGACTCTCCAATGACCAAGGGGTGCTGCGATATGGGCCGTACAGGACGCGCAGCAGTGCTGCTACCTTGCGATTCACGACCTGAGTCGTGGTGAGCGTGTCTTTTGCCCTTGTCTTTTGCCCTTGTCTTTTGCGCTTGTCTTTCGCCGTTGTCTTTCGCCCTTTCACCGCAACCGATCTGATCTCTGCCTTCCACTTTGTGCACGTCAGATGCACGTCAGATGCACGTCAGATGCACGTCAGATGCATGTCAGATGCATGTCAGATGCATGTCAGATGCATGTCAGATGCATGTCAGATGCATGTCAGGATCCAAAAGGTTTCGTCATATCCTGCTCACCAACCAATCCGCCTTCCCCTCACCACCCGCGCACCCCTCAGGAGTGGGTAATCGAATCGTATCGTATGTGATCTCCTTTGTGCTCGGCCTGCTCACCAACCAATCCGCCTTCCCCTTGATTGGCACTCACCCTTAAACCTTACACCTTCAAACCCCAAACATCAGGAGTGGGCAATCGAATCGTATCGTACGTGACCTCCTTTGTGCTCGGCCTGCTCACCAACCGTGTCATCATTGCGCCGCCCAACGGATTCCTCACCCGCCGCTTCTGCAACCCCTTTGCCCGCGCCAACACCTCCTGGACCGTCCAACCGGCTGTATACGAGTAAGGCTTGGTTCGGCTGTGTATGGGTGAGGCTTGGTTTGGCTGTGTATGGGTGAGGCTTGGTTCGGCTGTGTATGGGAGAGGCTTGGTTTGGCTGTGTATGTGTGAGGCTTGGGTCGGCTGTGGACGCTTTGGGCTTGTGCTGGCTGGCTGTATACGAGGGAGGATTTATTGCTCTAGATGCATTGCTCCACCCTCCTCCCCACCCCACCACACCCCACTCCTCTCCACCCCGCTCCACCCCCTTGCATCTCCTGCAGGCTGAATGCCAAATCCATGAATGCAGCAGCTGCAAGGAAGCGGGTGCGTCCGGGGAGGCCAGGGGCTGGCACAAAGCAGTCGCCTTCTCACCCCATCGCTCTCCCATCTTGCCCAAATCAACTTTCTCATGTTACTGCTGCTCCAGACCCTTAGCTTTGCCCTCCTCCCCACCCCACCCCAGTCTGCTGCTGGCGGCCGCAGTGGCAAGACCACAGATTCGTCTGGCGGATATGGCCGAACGGTTGCATGCAGCACACCCATCGGTTTGCAAGGAAGTGGGTTTGCTACTGCTGCTCCAGACCCTTTGCTTCGCCCTCCTCCCCACCCCATCCCAGTGTGCTGCTGGCGGCCGCGGTGCCTAATCCACGGCTGCATCTGTCAGACATGGCGGAGCGGCTGAAGAAAGCATCGATGTGGAAGCGCGTGCCGGCGGCAACGCGGCATCTGGAGGGAGAAGTGGCGCAGAACGGCTCTGTGTGGATCGACCTTCACTACAGGTGAGGGGACGGTTCAGTTCACGTTGTTCTTTGTTTGTTTGTTCGTTTGTTTGCTTGCTTTTTTCAATTCAAAATGGTGGATGCTGTTGGTTCGACGAGCTGGCTGGAGAGGGACATTGTGAATAAGGGGTCCACGTGGTTGCACCTCTGCACTGCACTGCACCGCACATGTGATGACTTTTGAGGCGCCTCAAAAGTAAGGGGTCCATGTCGCACCTCTGCACCACACATGTGTGAGTGCGCTCTCCATTTATATTAGCGTGCATTGAGGTGGTTTTTGAGGCGCCTCAAAAACCGCTCTCCAATTATATTAGCGTTCTCCATATTATCTATGTCATCTATGTCACCTTCCATCATGCCATACCACCATCCATCATGCCATACCACCATCCATCATGCCATACCACCATCCATCATGCCATACCACCATCCGTCATGCCATACCACCATCCATCATGCCATACCACCATCCATCATGCCATACCACCATCCGTCATGCCATACCACCATCCATCATGCCATACCACCATCCATCATGCCATACCACCATCCATCATGCCATACCACCATCCATCATGCCATACCACCATCCATCATGCCATACCACCATCCATCATGCCATACCACCATCCATCATGCCATACCACCATCCATCATACCATACCACCATCCATCATGCCATACCACCATCCATCATACCATACCACCATCATCCATCATGCCATACCACCATCCATCATACCATACCACGGACCACGTTCTCCGTTATCGCACCAAGCACCAAGAGCGTCGCCACTACGTCCTCCTTTTCCTGCTCCAGCGATGCACAGATCAGCTCCTCTTGCTGCTGCTGCGCACATTGCATTCAAAGCATAAGGCGGCTCCTCCTCGTGCTGCACACATTACATTCGACTGCAGCCTTGCTGAACCCTTGCATTCACCAAGCCTTTCAGATGATAGAACCGCTACTGCCTTTCCTTGCCAGCAATCTTGCCTCCGTAGGCCTTCTCTCCCTTCCCATGCTTGGCCTGCGGCATGCAGCCCAGGAGGTGCGTTGGAATCTATTCTTGAGTCCACTCGAAAATAGACTCTGTTGCATGCAGTCTAGGACGCGTGTTTCTCTAGCTGTCAGCATTAGGTGGGGGTGCTGGTTAGGCAAGTCATTACATTCCAGTTCCTTTTCAACTCTCTCTCTCTCTCCCCTTCTTTCCGTCTATTCCCGAGTATGTGTGTGTGTGTGTGCGTGTGCGTGTGTGTGTGTGTGTGTGTGTGTGTGTGTGTGTGTGTGTCTGCCGCCCGGCAGGGTTCTCAACCAGTTCTGTGACGTCGTCTGGACGACAGCTGACCTCGCCCCCTTCTGGTTCACCAGCTTTGACACCTACTGCCTCCCCAGCCTCTACTACATTAAGAGCTATGCTGTGAGCATGCACTTCGCTAGCACACATCGTTTTAAGCACATCCATGCCCCCTTCTGGTTTACCAGCATTGACGTCTATTTCCTCCCCAGCCTCTACTACATTCAGAGCTATGCTGTGAGCAAGATTTTTGCATTTCACCGTAAGCACATCTGGTTGCACTTCACTGTAAGCACATCTGGTTGCACTTCACTGTAAGCACATCTGGTTGCACTTCACTGTAAGCACATCTGGTTGCACTTCACTGTAAGCACATCTGGTTGCACTTCACTGTAAGCACATCTGGTTGCACTTCACTGTAAGCACATCTGGTTGCACTTCACTTTAAGCACATCTGGCTGCTCTTCACTGTAAGCATATCTGGTTGTACCTCACTGTCTATAAGCACATCTGGCCGCAATGTGTTCACTGCACTTCTCATGGCTCGCGTCCTCACGCATCCACTACACTCCCATCACACCCAGTGCAACCCCATACCAACACCCTTATCATCCCCTCCTCTTAGGGTAATTTGCACGAGCTGTTCCTGACTGCCGCGTATTCACCAACGTGGCTTGCTTTCTCATGCACCCATCGCATTCCCACTGCACCCATTGGAACCCCATACAACCGCCCGCTTTCTCCCTCTCTCAGGACCAGCTGCGGCTGCACGACCTGCTTCCAGACCATAGTGTGTTCACACACGTGGCTCGCTTCCTCATGCACCCACTGCACCCATTGCACCCATTGCACCCACTGCACCCACTGCACTGTCATCGCATTCCCATTGCACTCTCACCCATGTCAACACCCTTACCATCCCCGCCTCTCAGGACCGCCTGCACGAGCTGTTCCCCGACCGCCGTGTGTTCACACACGTGGCTCGCTTCCTCATGCACCCTGACAACCGCCTGTGGGCCAAAATCACCCACACGTTCCTCGCTAACCTCGGCCACTACCCCCACCGCCTGGGGGTGCAGGTATGATCAGAAACCCTTGGGGGTGTAGGTACGGTCCAAAGTGTCTGTGGCCGCAGGTACTGACAACAACCGCCTGTGGGTCAAAATCGCCCACACGTTTCTTGCTAACCTCGGCCACTACCCCCACCGCCTGGGGGTGCAGGTACGATTATCAACCCTTGGGGGGGGTAGGTACGATCATAAACCCCCCTCCCCCATCCCCACCCCTCTCCCCCCCAGATCCGTTCCCCAGACGGCATTGACTTGCCAGTGGCCAATCGCATTCTGGAGTGCGCCGTGCATGCACAGCACTTACCCCGAGGACCCCTCCCCCCTCCCCCCCGCCCCTACCCCCCAGATCCGCTCCCCAGACGGCATAGACCTGCCAGTAGCCAATCGCATCTTTGGTCACACAGCACTTCATCCCGAGGACCTCTCCCCCCTCCCACCCCCCCCCCCCCCCCTCCCCCTCCACCCGCTCCTACCTCTCAGATCCGCTCCCCAGATGGCATCGATCTGCCAGTGGCCAATCGCATTCTGCGGTGCGCAGTGCGTGCACAGTACCTGCCGTCCACCCAACCGTACCCCGAGGATCCGTCCATGGCCACGCCGGCCCAACGCTATCCGGGCGGTGGGGCGGGCGACGGTGGCGGGGATGTGGAGACGTACCGGTCGTTCCGCACGATGGGGGTGTTTGTGTCGTCTCTGAACATTCGGCACATGCTGGATTTGGAAACGCACTATGCGCAGCACCTCACCATTGGCAACACCTTCGTCAGCTTCTGGTCGTGAGTGCTCTGTGTGTGTGCTTGTGCTGTGATTTCTGCGTGCCTTCTCTCTCAGGAGTGCGGTGGTAGTGTGCGTGGAGCTCATCACCTTAGGCTTAGTTCTGGTAGGTAGTGTGCGCGGAGTTCATCACCTTAGGCTTAGTTCTGGTAGGTAGTGTGCGAGGAGTTCATCACCTTAGGCTTAGTTCTGGTAGGTAGTGTGCGCGGAGTTCATCACCTTAGGCTTAGTTCTGGTAGGTAGTGTGCGCGGAGTTCATCACCTTAGGCTTAGTTCTGGTAGGTAGTGTGCGCGGAGGTCATCACCTTAGGCTTAGTTCTGGTAGGTAGTGTGCGAGGAGTTCATCACCTTAGGCTTAGTTCTGGTAGGTAGTGTGCGCGGAGGTCATCACCTTAGGCTTAGTTCTGGTAGGTAGTGTGCGAGGAGTTCATCACCTTTGGCTTAGTTCTGGTAGGTAGTGTGCGCGGAGTTCATCACCTTAGGCTTAGTTCTGGTAGGTAGTGTGCGCGGAGTTCATCACCTTAGGCTTAGTTCTGGTAGGTAGTGTGTGCGGAGTTCATCACCTTAGGCTTATTTCTGGTAGGTAGTGTGCGCGGAGTTCATCACCTTAGGCTTAGTTCTGGTAGGTTGTGTGCGCGGAGTTCATCACCTTAGGCTTAGTTCTGGTAGGTAGAGTGCGCGGAGTTCATCACCTTAGGCTTAGTTCTGGTAGGTAGTGTGCGAGGAGTTCATCACCTTTGGCTTAGTTCTGGTAGGTAGTGTGCGCGGAGTTCATCACCTTAGGCTTAGTTCTGGTAGGTAGTGTGCACGGAGGTCATCACCTTAGGCTTAGTTCTGGTAGGTAGTGTGCGCGGAGTTCATCACCTTAGGCTTAGTTCTGGTAGGTAGTGTGCGCGGAGCTCATCACCTTAGGCTTAGTTCTGGAAGGTAGTGTGCGCGAAGTTCACCCTAACCCAGGTATAGGGCAAGCCTCTCTGGTTGGAAGCGTGGTGAGGGAAAAAAGAGTGCATTCAGAACATTTAAACCCCTCTTTGGTGTGTTGTGCCGACCTCTCTGCTCTGTTGCGCGTGCCTGCGCTGCTGCCCGTGCCATGCCTGCCATGCAGGCTGACCAACGAGGGGAGGGAGACGAGGCAGGAGCAGCAGCTGATCGATGCGGTGATGGACATGTGGATTCTCAGCTTCAGGTACACCACACATCTCCTCATCCACACATCACATCACATCACATTGAGTGGTTGAATGTTGTGCAAGGCTTGAAGGCAACAGGGCAACGTGGAGGAAACAGCAGCTGGTAGATTCTGTGATGGATATGTGGATTCTCAGCTTCAGGTACCCCATCTCAACTCATCAACACCGCATCGGATCACATCACATCGCATCGCATCGCATCTCATCTCATCTCATCCCATCCCATCCCATCTCATCCCATCCCATCCCATCCCATCCCATCCCATCCCATCCCATCCCATCCCATCCCATCCCATCCCATCCCATCCCATCCCATCCCATCCCATCCCATCCCAACCCATCCCACCTCACCTCACCTCACCTCACCTCACATCACATCACATCACATCACATCACATCACATCATAGTCCTGTCGTTCCTGCCTCCTCTGGTTTTCCCCTGCTTTTTCTCCTCCCCAATCAGTGACCGGCTGCTGATAACACACATCTCATCGTTCGGCCGCACAGCAGTGGGCCTGGCGGGCACGGAGGCGTATTCAATGGCCATCACAGTCATCAAGATGCGCGGGATAGACTGGCGCAACTCCACGGGGCCCGTGTGCGAGAGAGTCTCCTCTGAGCCCTGTGACACCCTGGGGGCGCCAGTGAAATATGTGAGAGCTGGTTGGGTATGGTGGGCAAGCGAGTGGGAGGGAGGTGTGGGCGAGTGAGAAGGGGTGTGGTGTGGTATTCAATGGCAATCACAGTGATCAAGATGCGCGGGGTAGACTGGCGCAACTCCACGGGGCCCGTGTGAGAGAGTCTCCTCGGAGCCCTGTGACAGCCTGGGGGCTCCAGTGAAATATGAGAGTGGTAGTGGTGGTAGGGGGAGTCAGGGAGGGGGGGTGTGGTGTACAACGGACATCACAGTCATCAAGATGCGCGGGATCGACTGGCGCAACTCCACGGGGCCTGTGTGTGAGCGCGTGTCCTCCGAGCCATGTGACACTCTGGGGGCTCCTGTGCGCTTCGTGAGTGGTGGTTGGGTGAATCAGGCGTATGGTGAGCATTGTGTTGTAATTCCAGATTTTATACAACATGCATAGGCTAGACTTAGATGTGTAGCACTCTTATAAATTGGGGGGTTGGTGAGTGTACCCTCCAACCACATTTTGTGGTTGGTGGGGATTGGTCCTTACCTCAACCAATCCCAACCAACACACATTTTGTGGTTGCTTGGGCCACAAGCAAGCTCACCCATTGGCCAACTTATTGGCCAATAGGGTAAGCTTCCCTATCATCTCTCCCTTGCTCATTGCTTGTACTAAAGAGCCTTTTGGCTCATTATTCAGTGCATCAATTCTCTCTTCTAACACATTGGGCAGGTGAGTGAGATTGGGCGTGGTCTGGTGTGGTGTGGTGTGGTGTTGTGTGGTGTGGTGTGGTGTGGTGCGGTGTGGTGTGGTGGACGAGTGCAACACCGTGGGAGCTCCAGTGCGACACTCTGGGGGGCGTCAGTGATAGTGACCACGATGCGTGGAGCGAACCGGTGCAACATCGGGGGGTCTGCGTCTGTGTCTCAGGGCCTCCAGTACCTCCAGACGTGTTTTGAGACGTTACGAAGCGTGGGGTTTGTGTGTGAATTGTGATCTGATCCGCATGCACCTTTTGAGGTGCCTCAAAAGGCCTCCAGTACCTCCAGAGGTGTTTTGAAACATTACAAAGCGTGGGGTTTGTATGTGAATTGTGATCTGATCCGCACGCAGCTTGCAGAGTGGGTGTTTCAAGAGGTACCTCGCAAAACTTTCCCTTTCCTCCGCTCCCCTTTCCATTGTTCCTCTGCAGAGCAGGTGTGGTGGGAACTACTTGTGAGGTACCTCAAAAGACACATGTCGTGGCCCTTCCCCTCCTCTCCCTTCCCCTCCTCTCCCTTCCCCTCCCCTCCCTTCCCCTCCCCTCCCTTCCCCTCCCCTCCCTTCCCCTCCCCTCCCCTCCCCTCCCCTCCCCTCCCCTCCCCTCCCCTCCCCTCCTCCCCTCCCGTTTTCCTTCTCCTCCGCAGAGTGGGTGTAGGTGAGACTACTTCTGAGGTGCCTCAGAAGACACCTGTGATGGTCCTTCCCTTCCCCTTCCCTCTCCTCTCCTCTATTCCTTGCAGAGCGGGTGCAGGTGGGACTACAATCGCAGCGGGATAAGCCGGCCACATCAGAGGCCACCAGGATTTGGCGCTTGCCCTGGAATGAACTTTGGTCTCCAAGACCACTATCCTCTTGTCAACCTTCCTCCCACATAAAGTACTACTATGAGGCACCTAAAAAAATAGTGGGCTAAGGGGACCGCAGCAGAGGCCACCAGGATTTGGCGCTTGCCTTGGGATGAACTTTGGTCTCCAAGACCACTATCCTCTTTACCACCCTATGACATGATTATGCATACGTATTAGACGTTGTACCGTATGTCAGGATATTGTTGGGAACAAATAAGTTAAGCGCCTCTGTCGTGTCAGTACTCAAGACACAAAACGAAGCAGCTCAAGTCGAAGCAGCGCGAGTCAACCAACGAGGTTCACGTAACCGTCGGAGGTTACGGGAAAGTCAAAGGGCAGCGACCTTTGACCTGACGCAGCGCGACAGCAAGGACAAACAACTGACTCGACATTGAGCAGTTGTCCGAGTCGCACTGTATCGAACCGCAACAGTAAAATTAGTTATAATGTCTCTTCATATTCTCTGTACTCATCTATTTATATTCTTGTATCTCTCTGCTTTTATCAACTTACTTTGCCCTCACATACTAGCGCAAGGTGGTTCAAGAGCTTTATTCAACGCTTCCGCTATTACAACATCTACTCAGACTTTAACTCTACAAAGATCCTAGGGCGTTTCAGCCCAACATGGTATGAGAGCAGTTAGAGTTAAAATTCATTATTCAACACTCAGTACATCAAAGAAGACATGTCTGCTAGAAAGGAGAGGAGCTCCTCCAACGGCTCTCCCGATACTACCCCTACTCCACCATCTGCCTCTGGCCTACTGACAGAGGAGGGGACAACGACGAGACCAGCAGCTGGGTCTACGGAAACACCCGCAAACCAAGGCGCGGGCTTCAATCTAAGCATGATGGAGAAATTTTTCTCCTTCATGTCCTTCTACGAGCAGCACCAGCAAGGAGCACCTGCGCAATCAAACAACTGCAACAACAACAACAACGTGACGCCTATGAGTCTCGATGGCTCATCCTACGCGCGCGGGAATCAACATCAACAACCCACCTTTGCTCCGTACGAGCCCCAGCGTGGCTCCGTCAGCTTTATGCCGCAACCACAACCTGCACCGGGACAAGAGAGAGCACTGGACGCATTACAAGTTCAGTCCCAATTCGCGCACGTTTTAAAGCTGCAAACGACAAAGCCCTTTGACGGAAAAGACTTCTTCACCTGATCTTTCGAATTCGAGCTGATGACCGAAGGAGCGCAAATCCTTGGCTTCTTCGACGGGTCCCTGCCATATCCAACAAACGGCACACAGTATGAGAAGCAGCAGTATACTTATCAATCAATGATGGCGTACACTATACTACTGAGGAACATTACCCCGACCCAACAGCAGAACATTAGGCCTTACCGAGGCTACGACAACTCCGCGGAGCTCGCGTACAACCACCTGAAGAACCTGTATCAAGCAACACACAGTGTAAACCAAAGCCGGTTAATGGCGCAGCTGACAACAATCGAAATGAAGCCAGGCGAGAAAGGCATGGAGTATATCAGTCGCTGCCGCGAACTGCGCGACAGGCTCCTTCGATGTGGAGGTTCAATTTCAGAAGACGCCTTCGTCACGGTCGTCATCGGCGGTCTCGGCCCTCACTGGCGCTCCACTCGCGCCATATTACGAGCACACAGAAGAATCTCCGAAGCGGCACTCTGCGCCGAAATCCACGCCGAGCAGCAGGATATGGACCTGCAAGAAGAACGACATAAGAAAAAGGCATCAGTACCAGAATTCGCCTTTCACACCCAGCGACGCTACAACAATAGCAACACTCGACAGCAACAACAACCAAAGCCAGTACCTCCTTTTTGCCATATCTGCAAGACTTCAGGACATCCTCGCACTCACTGCCCGTATTGTCATCAATCGACAGCACCACAGCGACAACCCCGACCTTCGAGCGGTCAAGTCACCTCGACGCAAGCAGCCCCAACAACTTCAGTCCAAGCTTCAACGACTCCAACAGGACAACCTGCGCAAAAACCAAGGAATATCGTCAACTGCATGGTAAAGATAACCGACTCCTGCACAACCGAGTCACCACCGTACTACTCACCCGAAGAACAACTTGACAATAGCACGCCTCGCCGCGAGTCTCTTCAACCGAATCCGACGTACGCCGCCATTGCTCAAAGTGAACCATCCGGGAAAGATACTTGGTTCTTGGACAGTTGCTGCGGACAACACATGTGCTCTTCGGGACGCTTCGTCCAACGCGAACATCGACTTCAACGAGAGGTCGTCATCACAGTTGCCAACAATCAGAACCTGTGCACTCGACGACAAGGAGTGGTACAGCTTCAGTCCAGGGAGACTAATGTTATACTACACATGTCAAAGGTACTTATAGCAGAAGGACTCGGCTACAACTTACTGAGCGTCAGCCAGTTGATGGCGAAGGGCATCCACCTGGAAGCCGACAGCACCACCCAGGAATTTAAATTATATCACGGGAAAGGCAGCCTTTACATCGGGAAGGCAGTTCTGAAGAACAACGTCTTCGTCCTGGATTTCGTCCCGGACCTGGGCACCGCAGTCAGCGACGCTATTGTTAACTTCACGGACTGGACGCACCCTCCAGATCTTGATCCAGACTTCAGCCCGGAAGGCTTCTGGTACTCCCATACTATCCCTGAAGCAGAACGAACACGCGCATTAGCAACAATACAACACTCGACAGCAGCAGAGACAACATCGAAAGTAGCAGAGACATCGTCGGCAGCAGCAGAGACATCATCGGCAGCAGCAGAAACAACAACGACAGCAGCAGAGACATCATCGGCAGCAGCAGAGACAACATCGGCAGCAGCAGCAGGAACAACGACACCAGCCCTCGTCGACGAAGAACCACCAACACCCGCACAGCAGTTGAAACCAACTCCACGAGAAGCCCACAGAAGCGCAAACTTCGTCGCCAGCTTCTACTCCAACTCCGACACGTATCGACGATCACCCGGACATCGCGCCTCCGAAGAAACCTGGCACGCACGATTGGGACATCCAAGCAACACAGTCTTAAACAACACGATAAGAGGAGGAGTTCTCGACAAAGACTCCCTACTACTACCCGACGGCAGAGAACTTCAAAAGGCACGAGGGACTTGTCTTACCTGCCCCGAAGCTGACTTACCACATCGACCGTTCGCTCCTCATCACAACCCGAGCGCACCGGCGTACGCACCACTCGAGAAGGTGTACAGCGACATCCTCTACAATCGTGAACCATGACAAGTCACCTACAACTATACGATTACCTTCATCGACGCCGCCACTCGATATGTCTGGCATCTAAACCTACCAAGCCGCGACATGGCACTCGCAGCGTTCGCCGCCTGGCTACCAGTAGCAGAACGAGAGTCGGGAGCACAGCTGAAAAGCTTCCAGTCAGACGGAGGAGGAGAATACACCTCTCAGCGCTTCAAGCAGTACCTGGCGGAAAGAGGAATCAAGCAACTCCTCTCCCTTCCCTACGCCCATCAGCAGCAAGGTGTCGCAGAACGAATGAACAGGACTCTGCAGAACAGCATGCGCAAACTGTTACGTGGCATGCGGCTACCCAACCACCAGTGGCCTGCAGCAATGGACCACGCTGTCATGCTGCACAACTTGATGTCGTCGTCCTCACTCCCGAACAACGCATCACCGCATCTGCTGTGGACAGGGAAGCAGGGCAGCACAAAAATGTTACGAGTTTTTGGGTGCATGGTACAGTACCGACCCCCTGAGGCACGAGCGGGAAGATTTTCACAACGCGCGCAGTGGGGACTACACCTCCGCATCGAAAAGAATTACAACGCGTGGAAAATCTTTGACGTCCACTCAAAAGAAACAGTAGCAGCACGTGATGTGATCTTCTACGAACGCCTCACCCTTCAGACGTACCTCGCCAACTTGCACGAGAATCAGGACCCCACAGGTGGCTTTCGTGGTGACCGAGCATTCGCCTCAGCAGCAGACAAAGCAGACTGGGACGAGCAGAACGTTGACTTCGCATCTGAAGAAGCCGGACCTCTCCCGTTCTGCTCCGTCAACGTCCCCATGGACGAAGAAAATCCTCGCGAAAGTGCCAACGCCGAAGTCTTCTATCACTTCGCCGACAATGGTTACGTAACACCTGCAACAGCCAACACCAACGAAGCAGAAAGAGTAGGACCGAATTTCATACCCGACCCAGAAGCGGGAGATGAAGCAGCTTATCCCGAGGACACAACACTCCCCCGCTACTCACAGACCGGACTGCAGATTCTCGGCCTCGTCACCGCAGTCCATGGCTCCTCTCTTCCTAAAGAGCCTGCGACAGTTCAACAGGCTCTAGGGGGGGGAACACAAGGAGAAATGGCGTGAAGCCATGGACAGAGAGTTAAAAGCATTGGAGGAACGCAACACCTGGAAAGTCGTTCCAGCAAGCATAGCAAGAAACAAGACCATTCTTACCGGGAAGTGGGTCTTCCGCATCAAAACGAAAGCAGATGGCACAATCGAGAAGTTCAAGGCACGATGGGTCGTGCGAGGATTTGATCAGGAACAAGGCCGGGACTTCACCGAGACATTTGCCCCGGTTAGCCGACACACCTCTCTCCGAATCCTCCTTGCGATCGCCGCCATGAAGAAGAAGAAACTGCGACAAATCGATGTCGCTAACGCTTTCCTCTACGCACCCGTCGACGCCGAAATCTTCTTCGAGCTCCCTCACGGTACTCACGGGGAACCCAATCAGGTCTGTCAACTACTAAAATCGCTTTACGGTATCAAACAGGCCCCACGACTGTGGCAACAGCACCTACACACCCGCCTCATCGGCATCGGATTCCGTCAACTACCTCACGATCAAGGCATGTATCGACTCACCAAAGGCGCCAACTACATCCTGCTCATTGTCTACGTCGACGATCTACTCTACATCGGCTCTACCGACGACATCGCTAGCTGGTTCGAAGGGGAGCTGAAAAAGGACCTCACACTCACGGTCTCCACTACCGTCACTCAGTATCTCGGGCTCAACATTCGCGAAGAAGAAAATGAGATCTATCTCAGCGCCGAGAAGTACGCTGACACCATCGC